GTTTTTCTATTTTTTCGACATCTCTCCTATTTATAGGGTCACGTGTATAATTGTCTAACATTTTTTTTTGGGGTTATATGAGATAACCCCCTTATGCAATTCCCTAGGTTTAAATCCATTTTTAAATTTACTATTAGGGATAACCCCCTACTTAGCATAATACCTTATTTAGCCCTATTATATTCATAAAAAATATTAAAAATTAATATCAATTAGATTAATATATGCAAACACCCACGTTCAGTTTTTTTCTTTCGATTCATTTAAATAAAAATTGTTTATTTTTTATTTCTACTTTAAAAAATAGTTATTTATTTATTATTTTTAGTTTTTCAATTTTTTTATTTGTTTATTATTTTTAATTTTCATTTTTTTAATATTAATTTTTTTCCGGTTTATTCTTTTAATTAATTTTTTTATTAATTTTTTTCACTTTACCAAATTGAAATACACTACACTTATCGAATTTCACTATATATAAATATTTTGAAATTTAATGAAATACTATAAAATTAACATAATCCGCACTATAAATATTTCAAAATTTAATGAAATACTATAAAATTACCATAATCCACTATTTTATTGCCTGAATTTGAAATCCACTATTCATTTTATAAATTTGAAATTCACTATTCACTGTTTGAAATCCACTATTCACTATAAATATTTCAAAATTTAATGAAATACTATAAAATTACCATAATCCACTATTTTATTGCCTGAATTTGAAATCCACTATTCATTTTATAAATTTGAAATCCACTATTCACTGTTTGAAATCCACTATTCAATGTCTGAATTTGAAATCCCCTATTCACTGGTCGAAATCCACTATTTAATGTCGCGTGTGTATTTAAAAACCACTATTTACTGTAAGCGCATCGACACCCCTCCTCTATTGCTCGCGCTGTGTAAGGTATATTTTGTTTGAAATCCACTACAAGTTCATCAAAAACACTACAAAAATATAGAAATTCATTACAAAAGATCTACTTTACAAAGAGAAAATCCACTAAAAACTTGCCTAAATCAACACAAAAGTCCCCTTTAATAAACAATGTCATCGCTTACAATAGTAGATTCACCCGGGCATCACCCAACCTCGTCTCACTTGTTGCCATCACTCCTTGTGCAAGCCCACTACAAAAAAATATCGAAATTCACCAAAATATTAGCATAATCCACTATGAAATTAACCTAATCCACTACAAAACAATTACAAAAATATTAATGTAATCTACTACGAAATTAAACTAATTCACTACGACAAATCCCTTTTTTCAAAGACAAAATTGAGTTCAATTATATCGAAATTCACTAAAATAGTAATGTAAACCACTACGGAATTAACCTAATCCACTACAACAAATCACCTTTTCAAAGAAAAAATCCAATTCAAAATAAAAATTACAATCTAATTACAATCAAATTATTATTTTTAGTTGAAAATCATGATTATTCATAGTTCAAGTCAATATCTCCAAATTTGTGCGTTCCAATTGAATACGATATTAAATTATATTATTATTAACAATTGTGCGTTCCAATTTATTGAATAAAACAAATTCAATAAAAACTGAAAGGCTCCGAAAATCAAGTAAAAAAATAGAACAAGAAATAATTAAAATTCTCCATATTTTTCAAATTACCCGTACAACTCGTCGATCCCATCACAAAAAAAACACAAGATCTTTCTGTGCCGTCTGGAAAGATGGAGATCTCTGATCTAGAGGATGAAGGAGCCGCGACGACTGATGTAGTGGATGACAAGGACACAAGCGCAGTCGGTCCATCAAGGCGTTGATGATGGCGAAACAGTGGATGTCTTACATCGATGGAGAAGGCTAAGAGGACCGAAAAAATTTGGAAGAAGAAATCGCTGCTACTGTTGAGGAAGAGAGGGGGGCGCTGATGTTGAAAGAAAAAGAATCGTGAAACATCGTTTGGTAAGATTAGGGTTGATGTAATTAAATTATTATAATTTAATATTAAATTATAGGTTTTGTTAAATAGAAAATTGGATCTATACAAGGAAATACTTAAGGGTATTATGGAGAGATCATAATAAAAATAGTTAATAAATAAAATTTAGGATTTATCTCAAAAAGAGAAAAAAAA